CCATCCATAATTGCATTCTGGGAAATATTTTATTAGGTATTATTAGTGGAGTCTAACCACTAATGTACTCTAACTCCTATTACAGTTGAACTAGTAGTTCAGGAATTTCCAACAAGATAATGAAAAACAATTTTTAAGAGATTTTTATTTTTTAAGTAATCTCTATATCCATTGTGGGGCTTGGACGCACAACCCCAAGATCAGGAGCTGTATGCACCCCTCACTGAGCCAGTCAGGTGCCCTGATAGTAAGAGATATTTTAATTGGCTATCTCTAAATATTCCTGAAAAACAGTCTAAAGCAATAATGGCCAGCATTTTACCGAACACGCTAAGTGCTTCACACTCAATATCCTCTTTAATCCTGACACAATGGCATAAGCTGGGCATTACCATTAACCCCATCCACAGTTGAGAAAACTGAGGCAGAGAGAAGTTATCTGACTTTCCAGAGATTACCCAGCTAGTTAATGTTGGATCTGGGACTCAAAGCAAGGTGGCCTGACCCCAGGGACTGTGCTTCTAGTTGCCATGTTATGTATAGCACTTGTGCTTGTCTACAGTCTGGGCTTCGTGAACTCAAAATATTCATGTGATTTCACCAAAAATGGCCCAAATACCCTAAGTCAATAGTACATTTTAACTTCTTCTTTAAATATTTCTCCAATCTCTGACAAACTGCTTTTGTATTTATCTAGAAACTTTCTCTAAAGTGGGAAGAGGTTTAAGAAAGGCAAAATGTAAGTGAACCTTAACTCCAAGGACATCTTCTACTCCCTTCCCCTGGCTGAGGATCTGATCACTTTCTTTTCATTAGCATTTCCTTCCATTTTGCTCTGCATTATTCACAACACAGCCCAGATTTTCCCATCCCCAACACCTGGAGGGTCAAAACAATCTCACTTCCATGGGGGAGGTTTCCTTCTAGTTCTTTAGAAGAAATAAACAGGTGTTATTTTTCTGCAAGGCTGATTCCTAATAAACCAATGACCTGCTTATTTTAACTGCCCCCAAATCACAAACCTATGTGTCTTTAATATAAAGGGGTCACTGCAGCCACTAAAATAAGACGAGCAATCAAAACTGTGAAGAATGCCTGGGATTCCCAGACCCGGTGAAACGCATCCATTTTAGCAACTTCTGACAACTGTGCGTACTGGTAAGAGGCAAAGGACAATGAACTGCTCTGAGGTTTGAACAATGATAAGGGTCTGACTTCAGGCTACAGGTCTGTACATCTTTTAAATGAAAGTGCCTTCTCCCTTTACCACCTCGCTCATTTGGTTCAGTTTGCATATTAGAGAAAAAAAAGCAACGAAAATATGTTACTATACACAGGTTTAACATGCAAAACCACATACAGGTGCTAACTCAGTTGACCTTATGTATTATGAGAAAGATGCAGATGTTCCGCTTTGTTTATAAAGTTCACCACCACTATTCACTAAGCTGCCTCGTTCTGCTCAGACTTTTCCTAAAAATAATGAATGGGCCTAATTCTTATAAAAAAAGAATACTCTCGGGGTGCCTGGGTGGCTCTGTTAGTTGGGCAGCTGACCCTTGGTTTCCCTTCAGGTCGAGATCTCAGGGTCTCAGGGGCATGAGATGGAGCCCTGCATTGGGCTCCATGCTCAGCAGGGAGTCTGCCTCTCCCTCTGTTCCTCCCTCCCCACCCATCTGCATACTCTCTCTCTCTCTCAAATAAATAAATGAAATTGTAAAAAAAAAAAAAAAAAAAAAAAAAGACTGTTCTCTTCAGAAGGTCAATGCCTGCCAATCTGTAGAGTCAGATGCATACAGTCCTTGCTCCTTAGCCCATAATTGAGGCAGTTTGATTACTTCTCAAATAGCAATAAATACTACTCACATTTACACAGAGTTCTACCATCAGGCTCTAAGATTTCAAAATTCAGTGACAAATGTTTTCAAAACTTACCATGATATAGGAGTAACATTAAAAAAAAAAACAATTAACCACATCAAATCAGAACTTTTCTTAAAAACTATATTAATAGAGGGCTGTTACAAAGTCATGCTAATTAGCAGGTATCTGTATGTATCCTTCCCTTTCCTTTTCAAGCTAATTCTTTCCATGTTTTCCTGGACATCTTTCTTGTGGGTGTCTGGAAGTCAATATACTCTGCAATAGTGGCCTGATACCTCACAACAAAGTCTTCATATTTCTGCTGAATTCCAAAAAGCAGGTGATAATATTATAAAGGAGGTAGATCTGAACATAAACAGCCTTAATGCCTGGGGAGGGTGAAACACCTTAATAGAAATTTGCCTGGAAACAAAACATTCAGTTATTTAAAATCTAGTTAATCTAGCCAGCTTATTATGAAGCAAAGCATTAAATATATACATTTAAAAATGAACAAGTCATGTTCAAGACACATATCCTTACCCCATTAACCTGTGGGTGTGGGTATGTTGAGGGTAGGGACATGGAAAGGATTAGCTGTTACTAAAACCAATTGTATGTGACTATGGGTATGTCCGAAAAGATGGACGGTGGTTAGATTATGTCCAGGGTTTCAGAGGAGGAGAAACATAGAACAGTTCATGATTTTGTATACGCCATAAAACAGTACAAAATATGTGGCTAACATCCAGGTCTCAAGATGTTTTTGCATCATCTCATATATTGCATGGATGTATTATCATTGCGTAAACAGAAAAGAAATATTTTAGTATCAACTGTACTCTGGTCCTAATTCCAAACATTTATAAATGGGCAAAGTCACGAAAGGACTTCAGTGATTTATTAGCTCCTTTATAAACTTGAAAATTGTAAGTTTAGAAACCATTCTTTTGGGTACAAAACTAAACCTTCGCCAAACCAGAAAAACAGGTACCAAATTTGTTTTTAAATTCTCCCAGAGAATGGTAATTTCATATCCTGTCAGCACTGTACTCTCCTGGCTCTCGGTCCTTGTAGGCGGAGATGCTCTCATTGCATACTTCCATTTTGCTGTGATAATGGCACCTTTCTTCAGATTATTGGAGGAGGATAGAAAAAAATTACACCACCCCCTCAGGATTTCTCCTCTCTACATAATTTGTTAGGGGGCACCACAGTGAGTAGAATGAGATCTGGATTAAATCTGGGTCCAACTCCAGCATGTACCAGCTTTTGGGATCACAGGCAAGTCCTTTCACCGCATATGTTCTTCCCACTCAAAAAGCATGTCTCTTCAGCATAGCGGGAGGATTTCAATTTTTTTTTTTTTTTTTTGATGGCTTAAGTACATTTTACAGATTTTCTTTACTGCTGGAGGTATTCCATTGGACAGACTTGCAGGCATTTCAAAGGAATGCACATATGAATACAGAATAAATACGTGCGAACAATGAGAAAACAGCATTAACTTTAGCTGTGTGACCTACCTTACTACTACACACATTCTCTCTCTCTCTCTCAGAAGGAAGACTAGAAAGCTAGTGATCATATTATTTACACACATTCTTACTTCCAAGAGTTTTCTGTATTCTTTCAGAAAATTTTAAAATTTTCTATAGCAAATGATTTTATCAGAAAAAGAAAAAAACAAACAAACAGTAACTGTTTTTTTCCCAAATGATGTATGTTTGGGACATATACTGACTTGGTTACCTCAGAAAATACCTGCTAACCTTGAAAAGAATTGAACTACAGTTGATGACATTGGCACATCACCAAGATTACTAACCAATAAAGCTCCACCTGCCATCTTGCCCTCATTACGGTCTTACTTCAATGAACTGACCAGCCATAGTCAACTTCTCAAGAAAAATCATACTCCAGGTGCACAGAATATTTGTCTTGCTATTTAGGAAATCTTCAGTGCCAATTCTGAAATACTGGTATCAGTTTTGGTGAAAAAAAATTCAGTATTTTCCTATAGCTGAATAACTTCACAAATAAATGCATTTATTTTCCTGTCATAAGGAGGCACAGAAACTATGCCAAACTTGGAAAACAGAAGTCATGCAGATACATTCCTCAGGCATGAATGCTCTCCCTCACAAAAACTTTTTTAGGCAGGCCTTTTGCTGTCATGGTTTTTCATCGGCTTTTGTGACTCCAGAGCATGGCACGAACAGGAGGAGGGAAGCATTGTGCCACATAAATTATGATATATAACAATATATAAGTTACACCTTTACAGCAACCTTCAGAAATTAATTCCGGATGCTCCCACACAATCTGCATGATTTGCGTTTCTTGCTTCTGGCACGCATTAGGAGAAGCTTAGTTATGGACCTTCCACAGCTCTGCTCTACAGTACAATGTAAGAGTGCACTAACCCTGCCACAGCAAGTCCGCAGTGAGATTCTGATGACTTAATGTCAACAGTCTGGATACTCCATAGAAGTTCATCAAACCATGTCTTCTAAACTTCTGTCTCCAGGACCCCACTCATTGCCCACAGGTTTCCGAGGGAGCTGGGGTGAGGGCCGGGTGCCCATAAAACTCTCCAGAACTACAGACTCTGCATGAGTCACACACAGGTCAGAAACTGTTGTTTTCCCCCTCCAGTCATCTCCAGAAAACACACATCACCAACACACCACTGCTTCCTTTGCAGAAAGAATGTAGCCTTTCTCTGCCATAGCTGTATGGAAATGAGCAGCTAATACTGACTTAGATGAAAACTCAAAATATTTACTCAGTCAATTTACTTAGTCAAGGCATAAAATCAGCATTAGCAACTCACATACATGGAGGCAAAAAGCACTCTGTTTGGAAAGCGGGGCTGGTCTTCCCAGTGAGTGATTTGGTAAAGGCTAAGTCTGGGATACAGTGAGGCAGATGGCTGTTAACAATGTACAGATCAGCAGTGCCCTGCCTGGCACTCACATGTCCAAGGGACCCTAATTCTTTTCAAACCCCTCCTTTCATTTTTGAAGCAGAACAAATGAGTGGGAACACTGTGAACAGTAATCTTTGTTCAGGTAAAGGCTCGGAGAACAACTAGGGAGAATTTATTGCCGGGACAACAAACTATGCGTCCCTACCTGCTGGGATCTCAGAATGGCGGCATCGATCTCCTCCACCTTTTGAGTGATGGTATCGCTCACTAACCGGTAGCGCTCATTGTCCTCGGCCACCATTTTTTCAAGTCCTTCCCTTGCCCTCCATGGTACCAGCTCCAGTAAAGCACTGCTCACTTCATTAAGGGAGTCCAACAAGGCTTTGCTGTTCTTTGCTTCCTTTTTCAGTTCCTGAAAACAGAATTAAGAAAACATACAAATCTGGGGGTACTGCTCAAGAGTGAACAGGCTTTTCCTTTCCCTATCATTGGCCCTAAAGTCCTTTGCAAGCCAATAGGGCCAGGCCCTGGTTGCCCAGTTAAGTTCTAGAAACCTTTGTTATTTAAAGCTATTCTGTAAAAAGGAAAGTGTTTCCTGAGGAGTTCCAAAGAACAATTCACTGGTCAACATGGCAAAGATTTTATCTTTGAACTTTAATATAAATGTTTAAAATTTGGGAAACAAAACCAAGTAAGATGGCATGTATTATTCTTTGCCTTCTGGTAACTTCTCAGTAATCAGGTACCAGAAAAGTAAAATAAAGAGGAAAGTCCAAGCCAGAAGTGAAGTGACCCTCAAGATGAGAACATACTGGCTTTACATCATTCCAGCTGAATCACAACAGGCTCTGTGAGCCTGACCTCCACAACTCCCTTTCACCCCACGTGATCACACTTCCTTTATCAACTTCAGGGTTGATAAAAACAGAGGTTCTCTCTGAAGAGAAGAACCATTACCATGACAGAACACCACCTCTGCAGTACAAGGAGAAAAGCTACCTCATGTTATGGACCTATCTTAGAAAAATATGGTTACTCTAAGCAATTACATGTATGTCTAAAACAATCATTTTCCTTCTTTTTTTTCTTCCTCTCTGTTTTCATCATTCTGTCTCTTGTGTAATAAACTATACTCCCAACCATAAGACTTGAAACAAATTACGATGCACTGTGATCCTCTCTGGTTTCCTGAAAGTTCTAAACCATTGATTTGCTACCAGTTTCTCTTGGGTCCTCACCCGTGGAGGCATCCTCCAGTCTGTTAGGAATGACCCGAGACTATCTCCCCAAAAGAGAACCCACAGATCAAAACGCATAGATGAGAGCGTACTTTCTGCCTCGCTTGTGCTTGGCTTGCTGCGTCTCCTGTCAGGACCTGCGTCTCATAGGAAAGTAATTCCACCTCCACTCTGTCCAGCCAGGTGCAGAGCTCCTCACGCGTGGAGTGCAGCTGCCTCGCGAGCTGCAGGGCCTGTTCCAGAGTCTTGGCTACATCCGTGCTCAATTTCGTAATGTCTTTGTACCTCACTTTAATGGCTTCCAATTTATCTTGAATTATTAAAACTTCATCACCTAAAATTTCAAAGGCATGTTAGATCTCCAGAAAGAAAAGGTAGAGAGAGAGTTTCCTCAGATATTATTGTACACTGATGAGATTTTTCTAGGGAGGGAAAAAAAAAAGGCGGGATATTTTCCCAAAGATGATCTGACCCAAAAGAAACCTTTTTCCAGGTTTTAATCTTTTTCCCAGGACTTTTGGCAAATCTCAACAGCTCTGAAAACACAACTATAAAGTTGGAAAGGGCTACAGCACCTCAGTTACATGAAGGCATCATCTTTGCATCTAACTACATGGAATTTTTGGTTTTCAAGCAGAGGGGCTAAACACTGCTTGGGTTCAAACACTGGCTCTGTGGCTTGTTACCATGTGTAAGAACCTCTCTGTTCCCTTGGTTATGCATCATTACATAGGGGTAAGAACAGAAATCCACCTCATAAGGTCATGATAAAAATTCAATGAGTTTATTTGCAAAGTGTTTAGAACGGTGCCTGGACTATGTGTACGTATGCATGCACGTGTGTGTGTATGTGGGACATATGCGTGGTGTGTGCATGTTTATACATGTTGAAAATAATAAACTCATCTGCACTGTCTCAGTAGGTCCTCACTCAACTCTACTTCATGTTCAGATAGAGAAATTGTGTCCTGGATTTCAGACTCCTAGTCCAAGATCCTAGATACCAGAATACTGGTCTAGATACTAGATACTAGAATAATCTAGATAGATTCTAGATACTATATTGAATCCTCCAACTCATAGTGAGTGATACTTGCCCATGCCACAGTACCAACGCTCAGCGACATGGGTAGAACGGAACTTTCCTATGGCCAAAGGAATGACCAACACAAGTCAGTCTGTATCTGTTTTGTTTTGTTTTGTTTTTTTGGTGGGTTTAAGGATGAGAAACAAAGCCTGGGGGTAGCCACGGGTGTGTGTGTGTGTGTGTGTGTGTGTGTATCATGGAACGCAAACTAGCTTAACACTGGAAAAATGTGTCTACCACCTATGCACTCATGTAGTACAAACCGCCTCCCGCAAGTGGAAAACCCACGTAACTCTGCTTCCCAGACCATCCCCTATGCCACAGTGCTTTGTGTGAGTAATACGCACAACTTCCATTAAGAACGCAAATGAGATCATGAGAAAAAAAGTGAGATCATATTCCAAAACCCCCTTGGGTTTCAGCCTTCAAAAGAATTCTGCAGAATGAAGTCTTGGAGTGGCCCCAAAATTACAAAATACTGTTTTTCCCCCTCTCCCTAAAATATTTAGAAAGCAATGCAAAAATGCTAACTGCATGATGAGTTGATTTGAAAGATTCTCACCTGTTGTTTGTTTTAGTAGTTCTAAGCCATTTAGTAATGCCTGATCTACATTTTGTTTTCTGAGTAGGATGTCCTCTTGCAGAACCTAAAAACACAGGTATCATTTTTATGTGTGGGGGGGGATTTAAATAACAATTAGCTTTGGTTAATCTTAGAGAACTCTGTGTTTCATAGAGATTTAACTATACGCCTCCCATTTTCAACTAGTCATTCCTGTTCCCCCGTCTCCCCCTCCTCCTAAACCATCCTGGCCCAGGTCTCATGTTCAGCTACCCTAATTCACACACTCTCTGTTTCATAAAACAGCTTCTGTGAAAATACTGGACTACTAGTTAATTACGAGTCTTTGTATACAACCCTAAAACAACAAAAGAAAAGTGAAAAATCTGGCTAGTGGATAAATTCAATCTTTTCTGAAGGTGACTTCATCAGAAGTAATCTGTATACACAGACAAAGTCTTTTTGGGGTATAGCAATTCACCTAAATCATAAAAACATAAAATAATACAGAAATAAGGAAGACTGAGAAAACAATGACAACTGAAAAGAAAAAAGAACATAAATAAAAATACCCGAAGTTCAGACTGCAGCTTCCACAGCCCCTCAGCGCTGTAGTCCTGGACTGAGAGCTTGCTGAGTTTGTCATGCACTTCGTTCAGCCAAGTCATCAGCTCAACTTCATCTTCCCCAAAAATCTTAGCATTACATAAGGCCTGCTGGAGGAGCTCAGACCTGCTGTGACTTTTCTCTTGAATCTCAATGTACCACACTTGAGAGGAGTCTAATTTATTTTGCACCATATCTTTATCCTCCCTGGAGCTCAAAACCTTTAAGGACTGGCCAATGCTAACAGCCTGGTGTAAATGTTTATTGTGATGGATGATGTCATCTTCTAAGGCCTAAAATAAAGTTTAAAAAAAAAGAGAGAAACAAAAAGGATGGGCAAATAAAAATGAAAACATAAATAGAACGAAAGAATGACACCTGAAATGGGCTGCTGCAATCATGCGTAACACAACAGTATGTAACTCAAATTTATGACTAAAACCATGAAGGAGATGGAAAACGGAATCTTACTAACGTGCAATGGGTATCTTACTTTGTGCTGTGCAATTTGTTCTTCAAGTTTTGACGCTTGGGTTCCTATGGGCTCACAATTCGCCAGCCTCTTTTCTATGGTTGTAAGCCACTCATTCAATGGTTCTAGGGTTTCATGAAATTGCTGTGCTACCACCGAGATACCTTCCAACTGACGATTCCTACACAAATGCCAAGATAAAGGTCATTTAGGGATGAAGAATGTGTGAAATATTCAACAAAAGCCTTTACTCATGCTCTTGCATTTGGAACATTTTTTGTGGAAAACATCTAAGGTTAAAGTTAAGATCTCTCACATTTAAAGGACATGCTAAAATAGTTCTCCTACTAAATAAAATTAAAAGTGAACAACAGACCAATCCCAAGTGCCTAAATCTTAAGAAACTCTGAAGAAATTTGGTTGCAATACTTATAATAATAGCTGGATAATAATAAGAGCAAATGTTTTAATAACAACAGCAGCAATAATAATGACAGTAAAAAAAAATTTACTGAACACATAGTCTGCACCAAACTCTGTTCTAAGTGTTTTACATATTAATTAACTTCGATCAGAGCACTAGTTACTGCGATTGCCTTAATCAACTGGTCAAAATTGGATTCACATGTTGAAGACCACCTAGTGCTACCCCGCATGGAATGAATAGGGATTCCTACTAGAGTAGGAGTAGAGTAGTGTGTCAGGTGTATTTTCCACCCCCCACCCCAAGTACAGCATCAGGTATATTTCCCAAAAGCAACAGTTAATATTTATGGATTAAAATACCACAAAAGAAGAGAAATATTCTTCAGACTTTGACTTATTTGAAATACACTTTAATATAATTTGAAATGCTTCTAGAAAACCTATTGTTTCCTCAGTGTAAAAAGTACCATGGAAGTGAAAACTCACTTCCCTCGTCCTCAGTTTTCACCTAGGGCCAGAGACTGTGCTGGTCTCTATACTGAGAACCTGATTCAGTATCAAATCCTGGGACGAAGGATTGTTGTCATAACTTTTTATCCTGTTTAATTCTAAGGGAATCATGTGATTTAAGAAATTCGCTTCCTACAGAGACCAAAGGATTTCTAGAAAATTGGCACATGCGACTGAACACAATTTCTGTATCATTTTATCATAAACTACATATTCCTATATGTCCTATATGTAGTTATCATAAACTACAAATTCCTGTATGTCTTAAAAATATATTTGATCTTTAAAAAATGAATAAAATGACAAAACTATTTTTGACTTCTGACTTATCACTAAATTCAAATATCCAATCATCTAGAATCAGGGAAAATAAATTATTTTGTGACTAAGTTCAGTTTACTGTGACTTAAATTGTGAGTGACTTTATTAAACTGTGTAGGAATCCTAATACGACCAGTACCCTTCCACTTAATACCATTGTGAGGAAGGTTTAGGACAAGAAAGCTATGTGGTAGCAAAGCAGGGACCTAGACATTCACTAATTTATTTTTTAAAAAGTACTATGAGTATCCCCATGGCAGCCAGGGCACAATGTCCTAGGCATTACACAGAAGGAATGATCTCCTGAAACATATTAAAGGTTATGAAGCTTTTAGCCTCCTTAGGAGCATCTTATTCTATGGTCCTACAACTATAATTAATTCTACCTCAATATTCAAGATGAGACAAATCCTTCTCTTCACCATTGTAGTTCCAAAGAACGGAGCAATTTATGGAAATAATCATTCTGTTCAGGGGTTCGTCTATTTTCAAACAGTCTATGTGGCTATGGTTACACTTCAGTGTGGCTACTATTCAGCACTGGTCAATGTGATGCCAACATGGACAATGAAAAAATACGACTAAAAAACAGGTTGACTGCATGCCCAGCATACCATGCTCCAGACGTCTTAGCCTTCATAAACATCACTGCATCCTACCATCTACTTCGTGTCTCAGCTAACCCTACTCCTTTAAAAACAAAACTGTCATTTCCCTGCCCCCAGGCTCCATTCTCCTATTATATGTTCCCACAACACCCTATGTTTTTGCTGTGGAACATTACACTTGTCATTACTTTCCATTGGCTATGAAACTCTACTAGACTGTTCTTTGAGGAGAGCTCACCTCTACAACCCAAGGCCTTGCTCTGTGCCTAATGCCCAGCAGGCAGGCAGTCACTAGGCCATAGATATAAATAACTTACTCCTAAGGGAATTAATTCTGTTAAAATAAAGAGTTGCAATTATTTGGTGACTCTAAGACCTTACCATTAGAGGAACGAAGAGAGAGGCCCCACAGCCCTTGCTCCCTGTTCACGTACATGGTAAACACAGGAAAATGATGATTTGAAGAAAAGCATTATCAACATGCAAACTATCAGTACGAAAGCCTTTGCTACTCTTCCAAAAGACTGGAAGTATTTAAGTTACCTCGTTTCAGCTTTATTAAGCAATGCCTCCCATCTACTATCCAAGAGACTCAGCTGTTTCAAAATCTTCACTTTATCTGCAGGCTCTGCTGTTGCAGCAATTTTTTCTCCTTCTCGTTTGATTACCTCCACTGTAGATTTGCGGTCATCCAACAATCTTTGGAGAAGCTTCAGACGGAACATTAAATACCAAGAGCAAAAGGGGTGGGGTGGGGTAAAGGAATAATTGTAATTTGTATGGAGTCATATAAAAAAGAGGTAGGATTTTAAAAATAACTCATTTTGTTTGGTGATTCATTGCTATTGTGTCAGACACTGTGACTGGGGCTTTTCATAGCAGACAAAACTAATATCGATAAGGCCATTAAGCCCATTCATTATTAATTTTCTAATATAAAATAATGGGGTAGAAGGTGCTGCTGAAGGGTAGCTCCACAGCACTGAAAGCACAAAATCCCCATTATTGTAACGAAATGGGAATACCATACACCTTCAACAATCACCTGTTTTACTGAGACAAGATAATAATAAATCATCACTGTCTTCAACACCTTTCCCCATGTTAAACAAACCATTCTAGACAGGGAAACAAGCTAGTGAGGCTAAAACTGGAGGCTCCTGCCTCTCTTTACTAGGTGGAACTAGCCCCTAAAATCCCTTCATGAGGCCAGAAACTAAAAAAGGGCCTCTAAATATCATTTCCAAAAGGAACAGAGGATGGAATAAGTCAGAAATCCCCAAAGCTAGCTAAATAAGACCAGCATTTCAGGACTTAGCAGCAGAATAAAATCCAATTTAATTCTAAGCAAACATTTCAAAAAGCCTAGGATGGAATGTTTGACAGAAGTAGCCAGAACTCAGGATTACCTTGCTCTAATCTAATCAGAACGATTATTTCATGAGCAAGTGCTAAGCACTGGGACTGTGTTAATAAAAGTGAGGAAGGCACAGGTATAAGAAAAGCTAAATACTTCTTCACTGCTTCCTTAATCTGATCCTGACTGATAGTTAAGGATTTAAAAAATGCACAGTTACCTCTAGGTAAGAAGCTAAAAGAGTATCCTCTCCCTTTCACTTTGGGACCACCAAATCAGGCAGTAAGAAGAACACGTTTAAAAAAAGAAGGGAGAAACATGCAAACTCTCTTGATACAGGGTACAGTCATTATAAAATCAAGGTACAACAGGTGGTTAGGCAGTAAGGAGAAGTAATTAAATGGATTACTTCTGATAAACTTTAATAGCAAAGCCTCTAGCAATTAAGAAAGCAAAATCAACAAATACATTTTGTTGGCTAAACATAGTTCATTGACTTTGGGAGTGTAAGAAAGGTTTAATTAAATACTGAATGGGAGCAATTATATTATTGTATACAACATCATATTATACTTATTAAATATTAATAAGTATTTAACAATATCAAATATTAACATTATTACATCTTATATATTACATATATATTGTTTAAAAATCATGCAAATGCAATGCTTCCTGTTATGTTTCTGTAATCCTTATCTCTAAATCTATTTCTAATAGGTTAATTCCCAATACCCTAGAGTCTTCAAAGAATTTTTAAAGATAGTATTGAATGTCAAAACTAAATTAAACTTCTTTATCCATTCTCATCTTTTTAAAGTTCCATACAGGAAAAAAATCTTACCAACGTGCTGTGTACTAGGCCCCTCCCATATGCAATTGTAAGTCATGGCTAACAAATTGTCTGAAAATGCACTAAATGCTTCCTAACTGACCACCACCCTCGGGAGCACAACATTTTTTTGCATGTTATCATCCCTTTAACAAGTGTGTCTTTCTTTCCAACTTGGTCTTGTACTGGTAGTGTCAAAAGACACAACCACATACTCCTTAGCATATACGAATCAAATGTTTGCTTCCTTAGCACATAGGCTGAGTCACAAAAAATATTTGTGACATAGGCTGAGTCACAAAAAATATTTAATCTATAAATAAGGAGTGAGACATACTGGCTTCCAGTTATGGAGTGAACAAGTCATGGGGATGAAAGGCACAGCATAGGGAATATAGTCGATAGTATTGTAACAGTGTCATAGGGTGACCGATGGGAGCTACACTTGTGGGGAACGTAGCATAACATGTAGACTTGTTGAATCACGCTATATTGTACATCTGAAACTAATGGAACTTTGGGTGTCAACTATACTTAAAAAAAAAAAAGCCAATTTCAAATAGATCGATCTAATATATAAGGGAATGGAATTTCTGCCAAAGTCACCTTCTCAGTGAGTGAGGTTTACCTTAACTACCCTATTGGAAACCGCACACACACAACCCCAACTCCACCCCACCACTTCCTGCCTTCCTTCCTGGCTCTGGCATTTCCTAATTCTTATCTCCCATCCCTGCTTTATCACTTGCTAACTTATCACAATTTACTTACTTTTACTGTCTCTCCCTCTTCCTCCCCGCCCACTAAACCTTCCAACTCAATGAGGAGCTTTCCTCTTCAGCACCTGAAACAATGTCAGACCCATGCCAGATGTTCAGTTAATCCCTGTTGAATGACTGAAAACTAAGGTTTAGAGCACCAATAACCAGTCAACTAGAACATTCCGTTAATACAAAGAGAGTCATGAAGAAATTTTTTACTCTCCTTACGATATGACATGACACATGACACAACAGTATCCCTGACTTACCTTCTGCTCTTGTATCTGGGCCTTCACCACCTTGAACTCGGCTGATGGGGGCTTCTGATTGGCCACCAGCTCCTCAGTGTCCAGCATCCAGCTGAGCAGGGACTCCAGAGCGTCCTGGAACCGCCCACAGTGCAGCAGGGCCTCCTGCAGCTGGGCTGCTCGCTGAGCCACCTGCAAAGTTGCCATTGAATCAACTTGTTTCCATGAAAAATGAAATTGGCCCACCAGCCACCACGTTTCATGCTCATCTTCCCATCTGGTCACAGATTTTCTTTTTCTTGTCACTTAAAATCTGCCCAAAGCCTTGACAGTGGGCAGGACTGTGGTGGAAAGGAGTCAAAGTCTAGCAAGCCAAGCCAAGAAGAAAAGGTTTCCATTCCAAACAATAATGTAAAAGATGAAATCTTTGAGATTTTGGAGATACCAAACATAGTTATGATTAGCCATGAATAATTCGAGTACTATAAGGTTACTGAAACAATGCCTAATTCATTTTTATCAGTATACTTCTGATTCTTTTTTTTTTTTTTAAAGATTTTATTTATTTATGTGACAGACAGAGATCACAAGTAGGCAGAGAGGCAGGCAGAGAGAGAGGAGGAAGCAGGCTCCCTGCTGAGCAGAGAGCCCGATGCGGGGCTCGATCCCAGAACCCTGGGATCATGACCTGAGCCGAAGGCAGAGGCCCCAACCCACTGAGCCACCCAGGAGCCCCCTGATTCATTTTTTTATTTCCTACTTTTAGTTTTAGACAAAGCTAAAAAAAGAATTTGATAGTAGAGAGAAACAGATTTCCATTTTGCTAGGCAAAATACCTGTAAAGTATCTGATTAAATTCTACCAACTCCAAGTCCTAGAGTCCTTTTTTTGACAAACCAGGGCCTTTGTATTCTAGTAAATGGAGTCTCTGTGTCCTACAGAGAGATATCCTATTGCCCTTCTCACAGATCTTTTCCTTCAGGACTGAAAAAGTAGTTGGTAAGATATTTCAAGTACCATGGAATACATTTACACCTGACACTACATTCCAATTGTGTTTGAAGGGCACTACAATACGAGTCAGGCTTTAAAGGAAGACAAATGTACTTCTGAGATCAGGCAACAATTGCTTAAGATTTCAGAGCAGAGAAAACAGCAAGAACAAAAACCACCAGCACCAGACAAGCACAGCCATCCCACAGCAATGTTCTGGTGATTTACATCATGTGAAGGGCTGCCATTGTGTCTCAGCATTATCTCCTTAAGGTATCAGTGCATTATTTTCAAGGGTTTTCCCTCATGGATATTTAGAAAGAGGTGGGATCTACATCTCGTAAGTAAAATAATATTTAGAGTTAAAAGAGTCTACAGCGAGGGTGGCAAACCCTTTAGTCCAAGGCTGACAGAGAGACAGAGCTGCTTTTACCTGCACAGTGTGACCTATTACACAGTGGGGAGTTAGTTGCCAACATCTGAAAATTAGGTTTCATGAAAAAAGGAGAGATTTCCAGGTTTCTTTGAAAGAAAGTAGACCATATGACAACAGGAAACCTAGGGTCTGTACACGCAATGATTTCCTGGAGGCTAAGAACCGACTGTACCTTTGGAGTGTGTGTGTTCCCTCAACACGAGCTCATGGATCATGGGCCCCCTGCCATCACACGGGCACGACAGGATCTCTGTCGAAGTCGAGAATGGCTGGAGGAGACCCAATTTCACCCAGCTGGCTTCATTCATTTATGCTGCCCACGGACCACCTGCGAGCATCTGAGTTTGGGCCATCCAGTTTACAGCAATATAAAAAGGCGGGCATGTGTAGGGAAGCTTAGCTACTAAAAATATGATTAATCGTCACAACAAATGCTAGAGAATAATAGTCAACAGAAACCACAACGAAAAAGACGAAGAAATTACCTTCTTATTGAGAGTCTTCCAGCGGGCATTGACATCGTCCAGGTCATGCTCCAAACCCTGTGTGCTGGTGCTTTTAGCCGCACTCTGAATAAGGCCTTGACCTAACCAGTTTACGTCTTGCTGTTTAATCTGCAAAGGTTCAATCTCTTCTTTTTGGAATACCTGCAGTCAGAAGAGCAATCATTTACACAAATTATCTAACAACACCAAATACATCATTTGCTCAATTATCAGCTTTCCAGTATTAAAGGTAAAAATTGTTTTTGTCACTCCTCCTATGGCACAGCTACCTTATGAGTAACGGTAAGAAACTAAACTAAGTACAAATTCATAATATTATCAAAACCACTCAAATTTTAAAGAATGATATTCTAAGTACCTTTAATCAGATTACCTCTAAAACCAAGAAAAGAGTTTATCTGTCCTCTCTCTATTGCTTCATTAGCATAACACTAGATAGTTTCTATCATTTTAGTTTTAAGTCTTGTAGAAAAAAGTATGGAAAATGCAAAGAAGGGAAATGATAAGATGGGCCCCAAAAGAGCCTTACTAGGCTTTATGAGCTCCTCCAGGGACACCCGCTGCTAGTTGGCAAACGCTGAAGTTTGAGACTCAAATTGGAAGTGAAGGTAAAGAGCAAGGTGCTGAGAGGAGCCAAGAGGCCAATCTATAGCTTGCCAGCTGGGCCAAAATACAGAGCTAGGAAAAGAGAAGGGATGTTGGCAGGCATGGTAATAGAATGGGTCCCACCCTGCCAGCCCTCTCCACACCTGTCAAGGTGCCGACGACCTTGCAAGAGCACGGAGCCCTCACCCTGCGATGTGCTCACACATTGTCTCTGGCACAGCAAGTCTGGGTACTCTCTGGTCACTGCATGCAACGCCACCATTTGCCAGAACTCTCCCCCCAACTCTCAGTCCCATCCAATTTATGGTCTCCAAATGCCTATAACTGGCAAAAAAATCTCATGTGCTAGAGTAAAATGCCAGTTCCACAAAAGCAGAAATTTCTGTTTTCCTTAAGTGGTTCTACGTCCTGGAGCTACTACAGTAGCTAGCATGTAATATGTACCCCATAATTATCTGCCGATGAGTATCAGTCCAGAAAAATTATATTTACATCTTGACGTGGACGACATTAACCTCGCAAAGGGATTATGCTGATAATTATCAACTCTTTTACAGAGATACAAATGTTTTAAATATAGGGCCTAAGGGATGCCATAACAAAAATTAACGTAACCAAGGAAGGAAAGTTTCGCTAGATATTCAGACAAGACGAGGTTTGGGGTTTGGGTCATTATACTACAGGACACTATATATCAATAGTCCAAGTAAATAAACAATTAACAGACTATATGAAAACATTAAAAAGAAAAATAAATTAGGACTTAAAAAATTACAGACATCTTATGGAAAGTAATTTTTAAAGATGTAGAGGCTACAAGAGAAACTCTTCAAACTCTGGCCTGGGACAACAAGGTACTCAAGATAGTTCTGTGTTACTGCATGAATGAGTAAATTTAGAAATAGCGAACAAATAAATGATCATTTCCCTTAAAAGTCTCCTCTCAGCTAAAAGCCCAAGTTTCTTCTTCTACATAAAATCCTTACAGACAATTTCCACACTGGCTCGTTGCTTCTATATAACAGTACAAAAATATAAAAAGTCAATTACACATAACCAAAGAAATAAGAGCACAAATCACTGAGAAAAAAAAATAAGCTTTCATAATTTTTTAAAAGGTTATTAAGTTACCTAATAAGTCAATACAAAGTTGCAGCAAGGTGGTGAAAACAGAAGTTGTTACTACCATTCTACTTCTTTTCCTTAAGATTTCTAGGAACTAACTGCTATGGATATGTTTTACGACTTACAGAAAAGAAGGGGGACTGGTAAGAAAACTGCTCCTTCATAATTCCAGGAATGTGCCAGGGAAAAATTCTATTCTCCCTTCTCAGATAACATTCAGGACAAAAAAAATTTAATATAATGTTCTAATAAATTGCCTTCACCTCTGATCTTGGTTTTAAAGAAATTAATTTTAGGGTTGCACATCAGAGTAGGTCTGGGTGAGTCTGGTAATTTTCTAAAGTGCTACAAAAAAAAAAAAAAATGGGCTATGGGCTAAAAAAGAGAACTATATATTCCTAAGAGCTTAATTACTTTCTACAAATAAAGTGCAAAACCCTTTACATAAAAAAGTACTTTTAAAGCTTTTAACCTAGTATGCCATTTAACATGTGCCCAAGGAAAGGGTAACGCTGATGGGAGCAATTATTTCGTAGGCTGGGAAGAGGACCTTTCCTGATACTGTCTAAATACCTTATCTCTCAGTGGCAACAAATACCTAGGAAGAGAGACTTTCCCCCCTAATCTAACCCATAAGCACACAGACGCAAAGTTTAAAATAAAATAAAATTACCTCTGAGGCAAAGTTTACCAGAAGAGCTTAGTAAAAATACCAAAATAGCTGAACTTCAATCTGAGTGGGAAGAAAATAATCACAGGTTTGACAAACAACCCCTACTTAGGACAAGGCTGCACCCTTTACTTTCTTACCCCATTCACCGCTCACAACAAGTTAGGAGCTTCTAATGACTGTAAAACACAGCACAACTTCTCTACTTCCACATTCAGAGCAACTGAGAGAAGATTTTCAGCACGTTTAAAATGTCCTTAATTTGAGCAGACGACTTCGCAGACCACAACAATAAAATACTATGTGTTTGTACCTTCGTGACGAGGCCTGTTCAACCTTAACAAATCCAAAATAACTCCCCTTAAATGGCAGTGTCTTAAATCACAATTTGTGGAAAAGCCTAAGAATGTTAACATAAACTCCCAGGGGTAGCATTCTAAATGCAGGGAACAGGTACTATGTCCACAATCAACAGGACTCTAACCAGCTGGGAATAATTATTCTTCTTATAAAAAAAGGTCCTAATTAATTTGTTATAATGATAGATTTATCCCTACCTGGCATCTTGGAGGGTACTGGGCACATCCCCAAAATAAAAGACTGGATTTGAGCCTTATTAGAAACACTAGTGACCACTTTAAAACAGACCCACAAACTAGGGGTTGGCACTGCAGAATTTCACATTCCCATTAATTACCTGAACTGCCTGAAAGCCATTACAGACTGGGTCCAATAGTCCTGCCTGGGCCCTTGCTTTTCGGGGAGCTGCTTGCTTTCTTACTGGTGTGAACTTTGGGGAACACTTCCTGTGGACCATCTCCGTCTCCTGGGCAGAAAGGGGTGCCTCCACTTCCTCTTTAGATGCTATGTTGGATTCTTCCAGATCGTATGGTGTCAACAGAGTCCCATTTTTTACTAAACTTGTGCCACCACAACCTGTATCATTTCCCTCCAGATCTGTGAGAGAAAGATGTAAAACCTCAGAAGACTCTTCCACCAGTTCCCTACTTGGCGCTGTGACTGGAGATCCTCCTGGTCCGTATGTCTTCCCTTCCTCTCCAGGATTAGAAATACACTGGCTTTCTCCATCTCTTGGGGTCATTAAGGGATCACACTTAACCGCGCCCTCTTTCAAACCATTCTGCAGGCAGCAATTTTCCCCACGGATTTCCCTTTGACCTCTTACACATTTTGTTTCCTCTAGTGGAGAAACATCATGTAAAATCATTCTGAAATTTTCATCAGGGTGGGCGCTTCTACATGAAAGTAATGGGATTTTCTGTTCACTAATGGAATAAACAGAAAAGAATGGTCTGTATTGCTCTGCTATATGAATATCTTCAGCAGAAGACAAGCTTCTAATTCGTGACTGGTCTTCAGTTAAAATGCCCTGTTTTTCTTCCCTCTCTGCTGGAGGGCTACATAACCCAGAGTCATCCTCCTCCGACGTTAGAGAATTAGTACCCCACTTGCACTTGCTGTCCTTGGTAACGACATCTGACATATCAGTAGGTTCAACAAAAGAGCTTTCACTTTTGTTTGCATAATCCATAAAATTGGCCGGGACAAACATACGCCAGGACCGTCTATATTCTTTCTTTTCTGCATGGGATTTGGCTTTGGGTAATCCTGTGGTTCGAATGATATCACTATTTAGTTTGAGCGCATCAAAGATCATCTTTTCATCTAGTTTGTTAGCTTCACGACCTCTCAGCTCAAATACACTGGAAGAAGCAAGGGCACCGTTAGAGCATAAAGAACTAACATCCAGTGTTCTGTGACTGTAGGGTAAAGTCCGATCTGTAAAATGCCTGGAAGACAGGCTACCCTTTGAACCAGAGTCTATCTGTTCATTTAGTCTGACAGTGTCATAGATTGACCGCTGTGGGACATAACAGTCTTCGATATTTAGGTCCTCTTCTTCTTCACCTTTCCCTACACATGGGGGATTCTGACGTAAACAGTCTGGTCTGCTGAGTGGCTTCCCCATTTTGTAGATAGTTAAAACAAATATTGCAGCTCTTGACACAGAAAATAAGAAAGAAGGTAAAGCATCTTTCAAAAAAGTTTACTTCCGACCAGAGTTATAAAATGTCCTCAGCATAAAGACATATGCTCAAATAATAACAGGTTGTGATCTATGAGGTGTTAAGGTCATCATCATCAGTGCATCACTCTAAATGCAACTATGCTTTTACCTGGTTCTTTTTGAAATGAGTCTAAAAAATAAAGTGCATCAAGAACACAGAACAGAAATCTCCTTCCTCCCCCTTCCCCAGTTCCCCAAGTTCCCTAACACACACTCCAAAACACAGAACAAAACAAAACAAAAAAAACACACACTTAACAGTGGCTCAATCAAAACATTCCATTATCAGTCTGTTTCCCTTTTTAGTCTAATTTTGCATCTGAGATTTCCAGGTTAAAATTTCCAAATGAGCAAGCATTTTTAACAGGCTGAATGTTAATATCCGCAGAACTCTGTTTAACTGTAATCCACTTAAGGATGGCTTGCAAAACTTCATCTCCTTTATAAATAAACCATGCTTCAGAAACTTAAAAGACAAACACAGGGGCCATGTATTTTTCAGATCAAGGCACAAATCAAATCTTCAGAGAAAAATAAGTTGTCTAATGCTGTTAAGAAAGTTAAAATCTTCTTTTACTTTTTTTGGGTGTAGCTATAAATAATCTTGATTCAAAAGGCAGTTTTTCTTCCCATATTAAGCTTCTTCGAGGC